ATGCAAACTCGGAGACAGTAACACCAGCTGGAAGGTTTCGATCAATCTCTGCCACATAGATTGAATAGAGGAGAGGACTTAACACATCTCCCTGTGGAACCCCCTTATTAATATATCGGATACCATCCATGCTCGAGGTATTGATTTGCCGCTGATAAGTGAGATATCTTATGAACTTCGGTTTATTAACTGGTACACCAATGAAGGCAAGTTTTGGCAATAGAATGTGAGGAACTACATTGTCAAATGCGCCAGCAACATCCAGGAAGGCTGCTATCGTGTGTTGCTTTTGAGAAAGCGCCCGGCTAATCTTTAAGGATAAATTAGCCAGATTATTTATACAGAACCCTTGCGGAATCCAGTCTGCGTGTTTCCGAGTAGGTTATAGTTCTCCACCCACCAGTCTAATTGGTTCTTTATAATAGTCTCAAACAGTTTACATACACAAGATGACAATGTCATAAGTCTTACTCCTGAAAACTTTAGGGATGATATGTACCAACTGTTCAGTCCAGGAGAGCGGGTAGGCCCCTGTCTTCAACATTTCATTGAATATATATCAACTAAAATCGAGTGATATTTGGTGGGGAGTTCCTTCAATATGTAATAATCAATACCATCTATGTCGGGTGAGCGTTTCGTTTTTTAAAATCTGCGTACAATATTGAACTCAGTGAAATCGATGTAGTCATCAAGTGAGCCCTCAGTTACATACGGAGGCATTCAATCTCGGTCTGAGACCACGAACGGAGGACTGATTTTATTGAGAGCTGCATCAATTTTATCAGTCCATTGGAGATTTTCAGTTTGATTACTGTCATCAATTTTGCCCCACTTATTCTTCAAAACTCGACACTTCCTCCAGACATATTTAGTATTCGTTCGGCTATCTAATTCTTCAGCAAATTGACAAAAGTGATCCTTTTTCTTTTCCTTCAACAGCTTTTTCGACAATGCACAAAGCCGTTTATATTCTATTAAATATTGGATGTCGTTGAAGTAATACCATTTTTTGTATGTCACCCTCCGGAATCTCAGAATTCGATTACACTCTTCATCCCACCAACTGAGCGAATTTGACGTGGGGAAGTTTTGTTCATTTGATTCGTTTTCCTTTCTTTTTTTATTCTCTCTTTTTTTAGGAATATTATTTTCAATGGTCTCGTAAATTAATTTCGTAAAAGTCGCCTATTTTTCATTAACGAGTGAATTTTCATATTCTTCGGTCAAGAAGGAGTCATACTGTGAATTCAAGTGGTTATGTACTTCTTTCTAATCAGTTGGAAGTGAATATAGTGAATATAGCCTGATTTTTTTTTCTGGTAGACATTCTTGGTTATCTGTATATCAAAAGAAATGGGAAAATGATCCGAATCCCAAGGTTCATCAGAAATCTCATAGTTGATGTTGTCCGCAATATCTAATGTAGAGAAGATCAAATCAATATTCGATTTCGTATAGGATCTGCTATCTTCATGTGAAAGTTTATCTGAGTTACGTAAGAAAAATTCCTCACTATCAACAGCTTAAAGCTCACTATCAACGCATCAAAATCACCGACAATTATAGAATGGGAGAGAATCGAATAGAATTCCTCGGAGAGATTGAACCCTGGAGGACGATAACATAAAGAATTGTTACTTGTGGTGTTACGTTTGTGAGGGGAATACCACATAACTCCACTCTTTCGTCTGGAATATCCAAATAGTCAACTGCTACATAAGCTATGCTATTTCTAATGAAGAGAGCTATGTCTCCTCCTGTCGAGTTGTCGCTCCTGTCTTTTCTGTATGTTCTAAATCCTGGAAATTGATATTCTTGCGGTTGCACGGTTATGGTATTTAGTCTAGTTTCAACACAAATGACTATGTTGTACTTTTTCAATATAAGAGGTAGTTCTTCCTTAACGCGACGAAGACTCCTTGCATTTCAAAAAACTGATCTGATATCCCTTCGAAAAGAGATTGGTTTCATAGTATTTGGTTGTGCAACCATGATGGAATAGAAAACAGAAACATCGACATCTACATCTATTATTCTTTTTATTGCATAGCTTCCAAGTCATGTAGGCTTGGACTGGGGCTAGAAGTGAGACTATTTGCTCTTGATGTGGATATAGGACCCACTATGCACTTGATGATTCGCTTGATGCGACCCTGAAGGTTTCGTTCCTCAATATGTTGGTGAGAACAGCTTAATATGTGAATCAATCCCGTAATATCCTGGGTGAAACTTTTAGCAATGTCCAGTGGGTTTGACTTTCCATGGCTGTAAGCAAGGTATAGAGTCAACAGTTTGAAACTGAGAGGGAATATATTCTGACTCTCATCAATGTGTTGTTTGAAGGGACTCAGCTGTTTGCCAATAATCTCGATTTTATTAGTGGGCGTTTGAGCGAGGATTGCCTCAATGCTCAACTGTTGATTCACCCCCTGTGAGAGAGGAACCTCTCCATCGTCCTCTTCTGCTTTGTTTCTCACGATTTTTTTTTCTTGGAGGTAGGATTCACTGTAGAGAGGCTAGCCATTGATACATTACGTTTGGGCCCTTTTCGTACATCATCAGTCTGCGGGGAGAGCAATATTGACTGTTGAGTCCCATCTTGCTCATTAGACTCATGAGTCCCATTCTGCTCGTCAGACTCCGAATCCACTCGACTTCCATGAGTTATTAATAATTTGTCAATGAACTCCATGGTGTCCTCATCCTCCACGTTCAGTATAGCTGCATGGCTTTGACAATCTCTTTCTGAGTGCCCAGACTTTTTACAGATAAAGCGTGTAAATGATTCTGAGGGAGGGAAAATCCAGTAGTCTTTGCTATTATGATGTATCTTGAACGTCGTAGGGAGTTTCATTACATCATCATCAGACACCTGTAGTTGTCGGTTACTGTTTACATGCGTGTATCCAGGGTTAGTGACCCCCGCTTTAATCAGTGAAATGGGAGATTGCGGTGTAATACCTGTCTCTTCCAATTTTGCATCAAGTAGCCCATTTGAGATCCAAGGAAATACATTGGATAGAATAATACTCTTACTTTTTTAAATGAATGGGTGTATTGACAGCTCATGGCCTTTTATTGTTACCTTTATTTTCTCATCGACGAGTTTATCAACAAATTTCTCGTTGCTCAATAATAAAAATACTCTTTTGTTCGAAATCCGTGAAACATTCAATACCTTACTGGGTCCAACTATACTTCCCACTGCCAACAGATAATCTCTGTTAACGAGTCCTTCAATTGCCTCTAAAACTATTGCTACCTCCTCCTTGAGGAGTTTTGATTGCTCAGTAACTTGGAAGTATATCATAGTGGATGACTTGACTTGTGTATTATTTTGATTGGCCTTTGAGTTCTCCTGTATTCAGAAGAGTTGTCAATGCTAAAGTTGAAAAAAAAAAAAGGATTTTAGACGTTATAGTGGATGGTCTAGATGACCTCCACAATGAAAATTACACTGTCACACTTGTTTTCACGTTTGTGAGATGCAGAGGAATTTTTCATGATAAGACTGCCATAAATGACAGAGAATTTTACTTCGGAACCGCGTAAACACGTCTAACTTGCACCACGGTTCAAAGCAGACTCCTTATATTTTATTTGTAATTACATTTTCGACTTGCAATCATTTTAATAAATTTATCCTGTTACCCCGCATTTCTGATTTCTCTTTGGTAAATTAGAACCCAGTCATTTCAAAATTAGCTTTTAGAGCAGCATTTCAGACCCAGCCGCCTTCGCGGTTGATATATTGAGCTGTCGGCAGCTGTTACGTCGTTGGTTGATTCAGTGGAATTCGAATTTTGTTTTTGTGCGATTTGGGAGAAAAAGTACTGGCGCCCAATTTTGGTTGGCAAGATTTGGTCACCGAGGGCTGCGTATTTTTGCATCGTGTCTGCAGAGTCGCGAAATACGTCACAGTATAAATGATTGCCTTTGCATTTGATCCTTAATTTAGATTTAGAGAATTTTGTCGGCTACCATCATGCCAAAACTTCATTAATTTTTTTAAATTAATGAGTCAATGTACAAACAAAAGTTTTCATTATACAATCCTGTACTAACGATATACAATCGAATACATAATATAAGTCCGTTATCTAATTAGTGAACTATGTCGGCTAAGTACCTGAAGGCGTGGATCGTTCTATTTAGCTTCGGCTTCTTCAGCCTCCTCTACATGTCTCCTCCTCTCTCCCGCACTCTTATAATTATTACATGTTTCATAGATCTATTTTAGGAGATCTCAACCCGTAACGAGAAAATCTCATTAAAGTTTACGCAAAAAATCTACTGAAAATGGGATTCGCGATCGCAACATAGATATGAAAGCCATCAAGTGATCTTTAAATTAATTACTCTTGGGGGCCAACCAATGAAATCACGGAGAACCCAGTGATCTCATTGATTGACACCTATCATTGGTTCACTCTTAGTGATTTCATTGGTTGGCCCCCAAGAGAAGTTAGTTTAAAGCCCACTTGGGCTCTCACATCTACGTTGCGATTGCGAATTGTAACCGAGGTGTACATACATACACGAACTGTCAAATTTTTCTCAAAACATTGTTGAAAGATCGTAGCAATCATACAATATGGATTATCATGAAATTGGAACCTTGATTTGTCAAAATTAGGTTAACAATGCGTAAGAAGGAAAAATACATAGAACATAGGAAATTATCAAATTCAATGAGTGACGAGAAACTTATTATCCGCATCCTCCATGAATGTGTCGATAAAGTTTCTCTGTCTATTTAGAATTATTAATGAACTTTTAAAAGAATGATTATGAAATAATCTAAAGATCACGTTTCCCGATATTTCAATACTGCTGTCGATCACGGCCCGAAAATTCATCAATTCACGGAGTTAGAGGTATTTTCCTTGTTTCAGATCTGTAAATGCTCATGACATGCGATAGAAAGGCTTATTTCATTGAACAATTGTTTTATAACTAGGGTTCACTCATAATACTTCTTCATAACTGCCCTTTAGGATGATGCCGAGTTTAATATTTTCCAACCATGTCCTGATAGTTACAGAGAGTTGGTGGATGATTCAATGCAGGTACTAACCAGCGTTCATATTTATTATACATGTTAACAGTGGTGAATTCTCTCATGTCCTATTATTCTGCAGTACACGGAGAAAAAAGTCGGGGAAAAATTCTAGTGGTCGGCACCAGAAATGAGGCAAACTGACGCAAACTGCCAAACTCCCATATTTTAATCAACATAAGAATAAAAATTCTAGATCACGGAAATTTTGCTGTAAGTTAATCAATTTTCGCAAAGAAGCACGAGAAAAATTCTAGAGCTGGCACTAGAAAATTTCCCGGTGTGTCAATTTTGTGGGGAATTCCATAGAAAATTGTGGGAAAAACTTCATTAATTCTTGGTAACATTAGAAATTTTATTGTGCAGTTGGAGAATTTTTCTAGTACTAGCACTAGAATTTTTGCCATTCTTCCTATCCTCGTACGTGTCCGCGCGACATCGGCAACGTTCGGCTCGCCAAAGTGAGTCGAACAGCTGCACTCGGGAGTCCCGAGTGGAGACTTACAAATGACGTCTTCAACGTCGGGTAACGTTAGCGCGTGTTCTGCAGAATTATGTGATAATCAGGGATTATTGGGCTTATTTTTCTCTGAAAGTGTGATTAACCATATCAAATTTGTGGGAAAAAAAGTGTGAAACAACCGGTCGTAGAAATTGTTGAAAATTACTGACATTATTCAGTGATGACGTTTTAAGATAATGTAATTTCCTGTAATGATGGAAAAAATGCAATAAAAAAATCTATAACAATAATTCGTTGGCTTAAGGCTCATTTTTGTTGATCTGTAGTACATTAATTTAAATAACGTTGATGTTATTAATGAATAATTAAGCGAAAAAAAACAAAAATTATGGCCGGGGAAAATTTTTTTATCTGTCAAGTAATTTTTCGTTTGCCGATAAAGAAGATTTCGTGATGAAACGAGAAATTTTCTAGTGCCGAAGGGAAAATTTTCATGTGCTGGCACATTGCGCCTCAATTCTAGTGCAGCACTAGAATTTTTGCTGGAATTTCCCCACAAAAATTCTCTGACTTTTCTTTCCGTGCAGAAACTATTAAATTTTTCTGTCTATCCATATTTCTCAATAGAAAATTTTCATTTTATTGTTTCCATTCTAATCTCTTCTTCATTTCACCCCCAAATGTGATAGATGACGGGTGGCAATGTAACAGTAACTAGAGGTAACAATGACACGGAGTTCATACGGCAATCGAGACCACGACATCACACTGATGATAGCAGTTTTGGGAGTTTGAAGTTTGAGGTATTACTCAAATTGATTCATTGTAGTTAAATTTGCCGTTAAATTAATGGATTCAAAACAAATCCTTATTTCCATTTCTATTCTACTACGTACTATTTCACGGAGACTGCATCCTGTCAATTCATAGCAGATCTCGAACTACTCCTTTTTATAAATTAATTCTTGATATGTAGATGAATGAAGTTGAAATTATATTGGAAGTTTTGAGCAAAAAGGAATCATCTCGGGTTAGTAAAAAGAACTCAAGGACTTGAGTGGTTTGATAGCTCATAAATGGCGCTTCAAAACGCCCTTCATTGCGGGAAAGTTTTTTATTAGGTGTACAAATAAGTTTTAGGACACTTCGATTCCGTGTCATGAAAATAATTCAAAGTTATCGCTTACATATGATATGGTGGGGTTTGTTATGTAGTATCAAAACATAAGGGAGTCATAAACATAACCTTACATTCTGTGAATAAAACATGCAGACCGATAAGCTATTTATGAGACACTGCATTCGCTATGAATTCCATCAAGGACAAACTGTTAGGAAAGCATGTCAATCAATTTGTTCTATTCTTGGGGGCAACATTGTATCTAAAAGTACATGTGAGTCTTGGTATAAGTGATTGAAAGAAGGTGATTTCGACGTTAGTGACCGTGAACGTACCGGGGCCCCTGTAAGAGTCAATGACCAGGAACTGCAAAAAAAACTCTTGCCAGATGGAAAAACAACTTGCAAAACAGCTTGGAGTAACTCAACAAACCGTTTCCTATCGCTTAAACGCAATGGGAAAGATTCAAAAAGGAACAAAGTGGGTGCCACACTTTTTGACTCAAGAAAATAAAGATAGCCGACTTGACATATGTCTGAATCTTTACAATAAGCAACATAGAAAGTCTTTTTTGTGGAAAATTGTGACTGGCGATGAACAGTGGATTTATTTTGATAATCCAAAACGCAAATATCATGGGGTTAACCCCGGCGAGCCGACGACATCGACACCGAAGCGCAATATTCACTGTAAGAAGATCATGCTGTGTATATGGTGGGATATGAAAGGCGTACTGCATTATGAACTTTTGAAGTCTGGCGAAACAGTTACTGCTGATCGCTATCGCCAACAATTAATAAGATTGAACCAAGAAATTGAACAAAAACATCCATTTACTGGCAAAGGAAAACGTCCAGTAACATTGCTCCATGACAACGCCAGACCTCATGTGGGTAAACCGGTCAAAGATACGTTAATGGGTCTTGGATGAGAAGTTGTGCCACATCCGGCATATTCACGAGACTTAGATCCAACTGATTTTCACTTGTTTCGGAAGATGCAAAACGAATTGATTGATGTGCGATTCAAAACATTTGAAGCAGGGCAAAAATGGGTCGATAATTTCCTCGCCTCGCAAGATGAAACTTTCTTTGCGCAAAACATCCGTGAATTACCTAACAGATGGCTGAAGGTCATTCAAAATGATGGAGATTATTTTGATGAATAAATGTAGTTTACTTTTTTTCGAAAATGAATTTTAAATTTTTTGCAAAGTGTCCTAAAACTTATTTGTACCCCTAATAATTCAAATAGGTGTTCTAATCAACTTAATCTAGGGGCCGAGAATTAAGTCATACATCTAATATGTCCCATGGTAATGGTTACTATGTTGCATAGGAATGCCTACTATGTCCATAGAAAGGGCTACCCTGTGAATGGGAAATGGTCCTATAAAGATAGGAAGTATCTCTAAAATAACCGGTTTGAAATTCGCCATTGCCTCTTGATGCATTCATAAACTCAAGACGCTTAAGGCGTCTTTCCGTCGTTGAACTCTTTTCGAAATAAATATATTTATTTCAGAGCAGATTTGCTCCAAATCAGCAGGCTAAAAATGTCGATGCTGGGGATGTTCGTCTCAAATTTTTGTCTGAACAGATGGCGATTAGAGAAAAATTTTGAAAAAAAAAGAAACAGTAATTGAGGAAATTATGATTTTTGGAAAATTTCGAGTTTCTTTCAATGATTTTTTTCTTTTTTCAAATTGGCGCCAATATCTCAGCGGGGTTTCAAGCTATCAAATCGTACTTTGGCATGCTTAATTAACATGAAAAGCCATTTAAGTCACCATACAGAGTATTATTAACAGTTTGACGGCATTTATACCAGAAAACGTGTTTTTTTCAATCGGCAACTGCTGAAAATACTCTTTTTTTTTTAAACTGAAATTTTCATAAAAAATTGTCAATAAAATGACAAGAATTTTGGCGCTAATTAGAGTTTCTCTGTCGCCATAGTTCAGCGGTCATTGATTCATTGTGTGAGAGTGAAGTATTGAAAATGACCGAAAATCGTTGTCCTTCATGCAATTATGCTCCAAATGAGTGAATAGCTAATTAAATATTCGCAAATTGAAGGGTCTAGTAACATTGTGAATTTCAATATAACACGCTTTTCATCTATACTCAATTACTCTCCATTTTGATCCATATTTATCGTTGAACGATGTCGGCAGATAAGGTGGGATTCTTGTGTTTCTTCGTTATGGTGAATTGTAGTGGTCGCTACTCGTTCTCATCATTCATCGGTTTTTTGCTTCCGAATGGAAGCATTGAAGTCAGTTTATTTTTAGATTCTCTAATTTTGCTTGGAAATGATGTAGAATGGTCTGCAACGTAAAAATACGAAGTTGGACCCCCTTGTGTGCATGTGCGGATATCCACTGGTGGTCAACTTTTTAAAAATTGAAGACTTAAAGGAGTAAAATGATTCCAAAAAATCTGAAATTTTGTTAGATTATTGGTGTTAACCCCTCAAGTACGCGTCAGGCAGGGACCCGTACCTGCCAGGCAGGGACTCTGGTCTAAATGGATAGCTCTCTTCGGAATTGAATATTTCCGAAACTATGGCTAATAATTTAGCCAAGCAAGTAACATTGGCAAGAGGGATACTGTAAGTCAAATTACATATCGTTTTTACCACTATCCATTCATCAAAAGCAATCAGATTTGAGTGATATTAAACGTCCAACACGCTTGGTACCAAAAGCGCCCTGTACGCGAGGGTTTAATGAGAACTAACTCTGTGCTCATTTTCAGCGCAATCAATCCAGCCCTTTTTTCTTAGAAATCGCCATTGGTTTTTAAATCGTTTTTCGCAAATATCCCAAAAACTACTCAACCGATTTCAATATATTTTCTTAAAAATATTCGTTTCGATGTCTTCTGTCTCAATCAATCAAAATATAGATACCCGTTCATACAAAAATTACGAGATATTTTCATTTTTTGGTTTTTCGGTCAAAATCCTTGTTAGCACTCTCAGTTTTGTACAAATTGACATTTTACTACGTCGGTGAAATTTACAAGTATTTACTGGGCCTTGGGACCCATTGAACGGTTTGTGATATATGACGGAATATGAGAATACCTAAGGAAAATCGCGAACCTGATCGATTTTGCCCCGTATAACCACGAAAAACTTCATTTTTTCCTGTTTTTATCTTCAAAATGCTCCTTGCGTCATAGTTTCCGGACGATTTTAGCTTTTGCTTCCGAATGGAAGCTTTGAAAATGCCATTTTCTTCGATTTTTTAATTTCGCTCGAGGATGACTCAGGGTAGTATGAAACGTCGAGATTTACTTGCGTTGAGAACTGTATGTATGTATGTGTGTGCGTTTGTCCGGAACTGTGTCAATATCTCGCGAACAGCAATTTAAAAAAACTGAAATTTTGGCTCATAGTTGGTACCAATGAAACTAAATCTCAACCCGATCGGTTCAGTAGTTCCTGGGATTAGTTGATACGCTGTTACGCTTGCCGGACGTGTTTTTGTGTGCTCCGCAACTCTGCCACGAGTTCGGTTCGCTTAATGCTATCTAAGTTTGTTTTTTAGGCATTTTCTCATATTTGCTTTTGAAGTAACTGTTGGGTGCCGGTCCTGGTTCTGTCTGCGATTGTGCGTGTGTTGGCGAGCGTGTATTAGCGTGTGTTAGCGCTTGCGCGTGTACTGATGTTGGGAGTGTGGGGATAGATTATTTGCGGAATTATCCGTGAATTCGTCGATATTTGTGCATTGAACTGTGTTGCTTGCCTATTCGAGTGAGGTATATTTACGATTTCGTGCTTGTGTGCGGATGTCGACCGCTGTAGACAATTATTATTTTAGACTTGGTGTGAACGTTGACTTGGTGTTTATTGTTTCGGGCGTGTGAGTTTGTCGTTCAGCTAATTGATATTTCTGATATCGGCGTTGCTGTGTATTGTGATCAGCTGTTGGTTGTGCCAGCACGGTGTGTCGTCATGGCATTGTGTGCGATTCGTAGACTGGATGTGGTTCCCTCAGCAGGAGTGGCAGTGCGTCCGCTGGGTGATGGTCGTCATATTTTCCATGCAGAGTATGTTCAGGAAACATACTACTCTCAGTTTACTGTTGCTCAAACAGCTTCGGCTTTGACAAAGCAAGCTTGCTTGCGTTGTAAGGAGAAAGAGAAGAGTAAGGATGATGCTTCCTCTTCAGTCAAATGTGGTGATGATGCTGTCTTGACTATGATGCGTGAGTTGTCTTCAAAATTCGATAGACTCAGTGCTGATGTTAGAAAACAGCAAGGTGATTTGAACGTGCTTACTACTGGTGATGCGACGAGGGCGTCTGAGTTTGCTAGTCTGGATACGAAGGTTTCTGTCTTCTTCATCAAGTTAATGAGTTCTCGGCTTCTTTGGATGGCATGCGTGGGCAATTGGCGGCTCAGGATGCACGGATTGTGTTAGTAAAAGAGTGTGTTGCTGACATGGTTCGGGCAGAGCGCATGGGTCGTCCAGTTGTTGGGGTCAACCCAGAGCTATTATGGTTGAGCTCGCTCATCGTACGCGCGTCAATGAGGTAATCGCAGCTAAAAGACGAAATGTTCGTATTTCGGCTTATCAGCTCAATGATACCTGGGCTGATTCTGTAGTAAATGTGAACAAAAAACTACCCCCATCGTTGCATTATTTGAGAAATGAGGTGTAACACAGGCATCC